AGGTCCGCCCAGCGATATGCTCTCCACAAATCCCCTCATGGACCTTAGCCAGGACTGTCCGAGCCTCTTCAGGCCCGAGGCACCGCAGTAGAGGATACGAGAAGGACCGCTTGTAGAGTCGTCCGTTCACCTCGGAGTACCATGCCTGCATTCGGCGGATGCACCGAGCCACAGCCTCATCAGCGGGGAGAATCTCGTCACGCTTGAAGCGTAGCATCTCCTGCACCCATGTGGTATGCACGTCGGCTAAAGACACAATCGAGACCAAGATAGTGCGAAAGGGGAGCTCTTCAATCTCGGGCTGGGTTTTGGGGTCCAACCTTGAGGCCAATTTAGCCAGCTCATCGGCTCGCTCGTTCTGACTCCTCGGCACCCTAGATATCGTGAAGTGAGAGAAGTTGGAGGTTAGGCTTTTTACCTCCACCAGGTACTTTGCCATGGTTGGTTTCCTGGCCTCGTACCTGCCGTTGAGTTGCTCGGCTACCAACCGCGAATCGGTGAGGACGTGGATGGCGTTCACTTGCATCTCGAGGGCTAACCTGAGTCCTACCAGGAGTGCCTCATATTCGGCTTCGTTGTTGGTAGCTTGAAACCTGAAGCGGAAGGAGCGTTCGAATGAGCGTCCGTCGGGGGCTGATAACACTAGTCCCGCGCCTGCGCCACTCGAGGTAGTCGATCCGTCCACGTGCAGGACCCATGCTTCCCCAGACTGCTCGGAACCCTCGTCCTTAATCTGAGCGAGTTCCGAGATGAAGTCGGCTATCAACTAGGCTCTGATGGCAGTCCTCGGTACGTAGTGTATGTCGAACTCTCTAAGCTCTACCGACCACTTGAGGAGCCGACCTGCAACATCGAATTTAGATAAAACTTGCCGGAGCAGTTGGTCGGTGATTACCTCAATCGGATGGGCTTGGAAGTAGGGGCGCAGCTTTCGGGCTACCAGTACAAGCGCCAGAGCAAGCCTTTCGATTGGCGGGTACCGCTCCGCAGGCCCGTTCAGGACGTGGCTGATGTAGTAGACCGGTAGTTGTTCACCGGAGGCTTCTTTGGTCAGGACAGAGCTGACCGCGTGCCGGGAGGTAGCTAGGTAGATACTGAGCTTTTCCCCAAAAGAGACCGAGGCAAGGCGGGGGAGGTTGGCCAAGTGTCATTTGACTTGTTCAAAAGCTTCTTCGCACTGCGCCGTCTATTGGAAGTTCTTCGGGTTCTTCAGCGCCCGGAAGAAGGGGAGGCAACGATCACCAGATCGGGATAGGGCAGCGAGCCTCCCGTTAAGTCGCTGTAAGTCCTTGATTGTCGGAGGGGTTTGCATACCGATGATCGCCTGGACCTTTTCCGGGTTGGCGTTGATTCCCCTCTCGTGGACGATGAACCCGAGGAATCTTCCAGAGCTAACGCCAAAAGCACACTTGGCAGGGTTGAGTCGCAGCCCGTATCTTCGCAACGTGGCGAACGTTTCGGCCAAGTCGGTCAAGTGGTCCGTCGTCGTACGGCTCTTCACGATCATGTCATCAATGTAAACTTCTATGTTCCGCCCGATCTATTGGGCGAACATCTTGTTCACGGCTCTCTGATAGGTAGCACCCACATTCTTCAGCCCGAATGACATAACTTTGTAGAAATACACCCCTAGATCAGTGAAGAAGGCCGTGTGCTCTTGGTCCTCGGGCGCCATCCTGATCTGGTTGTAGCCAGAGAAGGCGTCCATGAACGAAAGGCGAGCATGCCCGGCGGTCACATCGACCAACTCGTCGATCCTCGGGAGGGGATAGCAGTCTTTCGAGCATGCACGATTGAGACTGGTGTAGTCAACACACATCCTCCAGCTCCCATTATATTTCTTCACGAGGACTACATTAGATAGCCATCGCGGGTACTTGACTTCTTTTATGAAGCCTGCCGCCAAGAGTTGCTCCACCTCTTCACGGATAGCCAGTTGCCTGTCAGGAGCATGTTGTTGGCGCTTCTGCTTCACTGGTCGAGCGTTAGGCGAGATGTTTAGGTAATGTTGGGCAGTTTTCGGGTTGACGCCCGTCATGTCGGATGGCGACCAAGCAAAGACGTCGGCGTTGTCCTGCAGGAAGCCAACAAGTTGCTTCTGCTCTTATTCAGGGAGCCCCGACCCGATTCTGATCGTCCGATCTGGGCGGTCCTTTGACAACGGTGCTTCGCAAGTGGGGGCCATCGGCTCGAGATGTTGGGTCAGCTTCTTCATTTCCCGAGGGTCCCCCAGGGGTTGTTCGGCCCTCCCCCTTTTGTGCAGTGAGACTGTTGTCAAGTAACACCACCTGGATTCACGGGGGTTTCCCCGGACTTCCCCGACCCCAGCGTGGGTCGGGAACTTCACCATTTGGTGGTAAGTGGAGACTACGGCTCTAATCTTGTTGAGGGTGGGGTGGCTGAGGATGGCGTTGTGTGCAGTGGGGAGATCCACCACTAAAAAGGTAGACATCACCGTCTTGGATCTTGGCGGCGCTCCCAAAGTCAGGGGCAAAGTGATCGCTCCCAGCAGCGAAATCGAGTCGCCAGTGAACCCTGTGAGCGCCGTGCACATAGGTTCCAAGGCTCCTTTAGCTAATCCGAGCTTCTAAAAAGTGTCCAGATAGAGCACATCGGCTGAGCTCCCCGTGTCGATCATGACCCTCTTCACCTAGGTGTTAGCTATCCTGGACGTTATTACAAGTGCATCGTCATGCTCCGATCGCTCAGCACCCTCGGGGGGGAACGCGACCTCGGGATCGGGGTCGCATTTGGGAGGATCGGTATTGATGGAGTGGGCGTACGCCTTCCTTCCGGACATACTGTTTCCTCCGGATGCTGGGCCGCCCGTGATGACGTCGATTTGGCGTTCAACGGGGCCCTCCGAATGGGGCGAAAGTTCCCTACTCCATCGGATGTACCGACTGAGGTGTCCTCTGTGGACGAGCTCCTCGATTTGCCACTTCAGCTCGCGGCACTCCTCAGTATCGTGCCCATTTTGCCGGTGGAAATGGCAATACTTCGACTGGTCAGCGAGTTCCCGCGGGCTTTTCATTGGGTTGGGGGCTCGGAGTAGCCCCTTCTCCCTTATTTGGAGAAATATCTCCGTTCGGGATGCACCCAAAGGGGGTAACGGGGACCTCAACGCCGGCGGGTCAGGTCGGTCCGACCTACGCCTCGGCGTGGCGGACTGTTGTCCCCGGGTCGGCTCCGGCCTGACCCTCTTGTGCTCCCCCCACTTCTCGACCATCCAGTTCTCGGCCGCGATGAACTGGTTCCCCTGTTGAAGCATCTTAGGTACCGCGGTGGGGGGTCGCTCCACGAGGGACCAGAAGAATCTGGAAGGTCACAAGCCTATCATAAACACCTGCATTAACAGAGAGGGATGAGCATCCGGTAATCCCCGGATTTGTGTTGCAAAACGATTCGCAAAATGGGAGAGGGGCTCGTCCTCCCTCTGGTTGAGTTCCAGGAGCAGTGCAACGGAAGGTTTCGACCGGGCATAGGCCAGAAAGTTAAGTTCGAAGTCCTTGACGAGCTGGTCAAAGGAGGCGATCGTCCCGGTCTTCAGGCCGTTGTACCACGTGCGGGCTGGCCCTCTCAGAGTTGTGGAAAACGCCCTGCACATCAAAGCATCAAAGGTTCCATACAGTACCATCTAGGCATGGAAAGCAGCGACATGGTCCGCTGGGTCGGTGGAGTCGTCGTATGCATCTAAAAAGGGGAGTCGGAAGTTTGGGGGGACTGTCTGATCTTGTGTTCCCCCGGAGCTCCAATCGGGGGAGGCCCCTCAACTGCGGGTTTGTCTGAGTCGATTGGGCGATCCCTTGACATTCGGGCCCTCTTTCTAGCGCCAAAAATGTTAGTGTAAACAACTTTAAGTCGTGGCCTTAGAGCTGACGCGGCTTAGTTCGGGTCTGAATGATGGGGGATCTTCCTGGGACGACCCTTGAGACTGCAGAAGACCGACTGCGGTGGTCCGATCGCGAAGGGGTCACCGTTTCCTCCGAGATGGGGCTCCTCGTTTGGACGTTTAGTGGGAGGCCTCCGTCTTCGCACTTACACACAGGTCGGGTCGGGAGAGCTCGACCCGACCCCTCCGACGATCAAGTTAGTGAATAGTCACAGGGGTTTTTTTGGTTGTCTTCCCTCCTCCCTATTTCCTCGGAGCGCGAGGGTCTTTATAATGAAGGTTACCGTTGCCTGATGTGCCCGCTTACAGGGAGCAGGATCATACTCCTGGTAACGTCTGACATCGACGTTGGCGTGGCGTGAAGGATCGAGCCTGAGTAGGATGTTAATGTACCTCGGTCGGCGTTCCGGTCTGTGTTGACCAGGTGCTATCCGGTTAACAGAGGCGCGAGGTGTCATCTGATACAGCTGACGTCAATCCAAGTCTTATCGTCATTATTACCATCATCATCTACTATTAAGATAAGATACATTCGAATCGATAATAAACACATTTGCTTTCTTCGAAACGTCGGCTTCATTTGTCACCCTCCAAGGAACGTTTTTTTTTGTAAGGAAACGTCGTTACTACACAAATAAAAAAAGAGAGAGGGAGATTAAAATGCGAAAATTAAAGTGTGACGTGACAGTCTGTGATCCGCTCGCCCGTTCTGACACGGAGCCGTCATCATGTAACGCCGACGGGAGACTTAACGACGACATAAATCCCCCCCGCGAGATGTCGGCCGTCCATTTCATCGTCCCACCATCTAGACCGTTCCTTGATTCGGCTCGCCAAAGGCGTTGGATCGTGGCCATCCATGCTAAATGTGATGCGGTTCATGCTCACGACCCTTGCTTTCGCCACGCCTCCGTTTGTTCGATAAGATGTACTTGGGGCCCGCAAAGCAGGTGAGCTGGCGGCCGTAATTGGTGCGCCGCGTTCGACGGTCGAGGGTTAGGATTTAACCGCAGTTGAGGTGGAGGACTAGACGCTCGAGGCATTTATACGTACATCAAACCCCACCGACGTCCCCTCGACTCGAGTGCTCCCGCCTCTCTCTCTCTCTCTCTCTCTCTCTCCATCCCGTGTATAAAACGGGGATGATCCAAGAGGCCGCCGATCCCTCCCTCGAATCCTTCTCTCGCTCCCGTGAAATCACCGCCCAGCGCTGATCTCTCCATTCAAATACATCCTCTAAATCGCCACACTTGGCCTTCGGATCTGGAAACTGTAGAAAGAACGGGACTTTTAGGCGTCTTTCTGGGAGTAATCGACGGTCTTTGTGGCTTGCTTCTGGAAAGAAATCAGGTGACGCCTTTGTTTGATCTCCTAGTCGGGGAGGAAAACTGTGGGAGAGTTGGCTTGAAGTGATACAATGGTCGGTATTTTAGCAAGTCTTTTACTGTTATTTAAGCTCGGAATCGGTGTTTGAGCTGATTTTTGTGTGTGTATGTGTGTGTGTGTGTTTTTTTCTTATGTGCATAAAAAATAGGGTAGTCGGTGGAGACGTCTTCAATTCTGATAGAATTTGAGGCGTTTAAGGATTCTGATTCGCTGTGTGCAGCTGCATTGAGTGGAAGAATCAGTTTAAAAGATCTTGAAGGTTTGTGGAGCAGATGCTAAGGGATCGAATCTAAGTATTCTCTTTCCATTAATAAGAGAGAGAGAGAGAGAGAGAGAGCTCTTTGGATCCAAGGGATGTGCCGGTTAGAAAGGACAACAGGATCTCACTCCTCGGGGGAGAGATAGATTGATCTGAAGCCCGGGGTAAGCGAATCGAGCACGGACAAGCTGCAGAGCACGATAGTGTCGAGACCGAAGATGAAGCTTTGGGTGATCCGGATGACTGCGGTGGTGTTATTGTGGACGTGCGTTCTCCACCTGATGGCATTAGGGGAGATATGGAGGCCGAGGGTCTTGAAAGGATGGCCCTCTTGCTTCACCCCATCGGAGTCGCCGCTTCTGGTGAAACAAGCCTCTACAGCCGTCGAGAAAATCGTTCTGCCACCCAAAAGTGTGTTCTTTCTGCTCATCATGAACTTTTCATATGTTGCTTGTTATGCAATTAAAACTGTGTTCATTGCATCGTAATTTTTTGTTTATTCCTTGACTTTGTTTATAACTTCTTCTTTTAACATCTTTGACCAAGCAGTTTGAAATTATAACCATACCATACAGTGGCTACGACTTCTTTTGCCTGTTTTATGCTAATTTGTGGGTATCTTTAACTTATATGAAATTCTGACATTCTTTCTAAAATTTCTCCTTGTAATTATATGGAATACTTGGTTTCATTTTTTCTTTGATGATTGCCTCCACTATACTAATTGCTAATCAAGTTTCTATGCCACCTAAGGGAAATCAATATATAGCTTGTACTTAAGTTGGTTGGCAATTTTACTCTGTTAGACGATCAACAAATTAATTGAGCAAAAAGGTGTCCCATCATCATTTCGGTTGTCCATGCTTCCTGTTCTCTGTTCAGTTCCCGGCATTTTACCTTATCTCATACTTCATCTAAGTCCTTGGGTGCTGAATCCACAACACCTATTTCAAAATTCTTCCTATTTTCTATTATAATTGGGTTTCATCTGAAGTTTTTATCTTTCTATAGTGTGATCTTTCTTATCTCTGCTAAATCTAGTGCTTATTCAACTTGTAGTGCAGAAAGAAATGTGGTTTTTGTTTGTCAATATCTGCAGTTTCTCATCTGAATCTTGAATGTTTCTGTCATTAGGAATCTACAAAAATAATGGGTACCTGATGGTTTCATGCAATGGTGGGCTTAATCAAATGCGATCAGCGGTAAGGCTTTATGAAACCATCAATATTCAATTTCAGGAATTTAGGTGCTCGTTATTTTATTTGCAATATCGCCCAAGTGATTGTTAAAGTGAAACTGGCTGCATATAGATTCTCATCCTACAGTTTTCTCCTTTCAGATCTGTGACATGGTTGCTATTGCGAGATATTTGAATGTGACACTCATAGTACCAGAGTTGGACAAGACCTCTTTTTGGAATGACCCTAGGTATGTTTTTTATTTTCAGTTTAAAATTCTTCAGTATCTTGGTTTTAACATGTTGATGAGTTTCTTTCATTTTTAGGAAAAAAAACTAATTATTACTTCTTTTTGCTAGAATAACAGAATTTTCTTTAATGACAGTGAATTCCAGGACATATTCGACCTCGATCATTTTATCACTTCTTTGAGAGATGAGGTCCGGATATTGAAAGAATTGCCACCTAGGTTAAAAACAAGGGTTGAGCTGGGAATGTTTTATTCGATGCCACCTGTTAGTTGGTCTGATATCGCTTATTACCAAAATCAGGTTGGTATGCAACTATGGGAATAAGCAAAAACAAATGTATCGACGTATGATCTTGAGTCACTAGTAAAGCTGATAATCTGTTTTTCTGGCAACCAGGTTCTTCCTTTGATACGGAAGCACAAGGTCGTTCATTTGAATAAAACAGATGCTCGGCTAGCTAACAATGGTCTACCATTAGAGATACAAAAGTTACGCTGCAGAGTAAATTATGCTTTTCTTAGATTCACTCCTCAAATTGAAGAATTGGGCAGAAGAATAATTAAAATTCTGCAACAGAATGGCCTTTTTCTTGTTCTCCATTTACGATATGAAATGGACATGTTGGCCTTCTCTGGATGTACTCACGATTGCACTGATGAAGAAGCAGATGAATTGACAAGAATGAGGTAAAAGATGAACATCCCTTTGCAATTACCTTTTGTCAGGATTTCAACATTGGATTAGTAAGGATAATCTCATCCCCTTTGCGTGGCTCTTTCTTTTTTTAATACAGATATGCTTATCCCTGGTGGAAAGAAAAAGTCATCAACTCTGACAAAAAAAGAAAAGATGGTCTCTGTCCTTTAACACCAGAAGAAACCACTTTGGTATTGAGGGCACTGGATATTGATCGCAATGTTCAAATATATATCGCAGCTGGAGAGATATATGGTGGAGACAGGAGAATGGCTGCTCTTTTTGCTGCTTATCCAAAAGTGGTCAGTATTGGCTGCAGTTATTCATCTTTAATTATTTATGATTGTAATATTGTTTTAATGTAATTCATTACTGGTTGTCTGTATGAATTAGGTAAAAAAGGAAACTTTACTGGGACCTTCTGATCTTAGATACTTCCAGAATCACTCATCACAAATGGCAGCATTGGATTACTTGGTTTCGTTAGAGAGTGATATCTTCATTCCTACATATGATGGTAACATGGCTAAAGTCGTTGAAGGTCATCGCAGGTACAATACACAATCCTTTTATGAAATCATCAAAGTATCAATTTAAGTTTGATATTGTTGGTGGGCAGACTAACTTCTATCAGGTCCACATGACTCATACAAATTGATAATGTACAAATTCCTTTTGTGTTCCAGACTCTTGGCAATTAAGACCTGTCCATATTATGCACACTTTCAGGTACTTGGGCTTCAGGAAGACAATCTTATTGGACAGAAGGCTCCTGGTTGATCTGATAGATGAGTACAACAATGGTACTTTAAGTTGGGATGAATTCTCTTTATCAGTTAAGGCAACTCATGCTGATCGAATGGGAAGCCCCACCAGGAGAGTGGTGATTCCTGACAGGCCCAAGGAAGAAGACTATTTCTATGCAAACCCCCAAGAGTGTCTCCCACAGCCTGATAAACCATCGACTTCATGAATTCATTGAGATGACACCATTCCTGTATAGCTGTTCTTTCCAAGAATGGCATTGATTTGAAACCTTTATGAAGGTAACCATTGGATCAACTGATGATAATGCTGGATGGTTTCCTTCCCAGGAGGATACAAACCAAAGAGGTTAGCAAGTTGCGTGTCTTTTCTGATGCAGCTGGTGAGTACAAATTTATACAGTAGATTTTTTTGTTAATATTCTCCAAATAAATGCTTGTATAGAAGGGTGAACGGGAGAAAGGGGAATGGGGAGAGAGGGGAAGCCTGCTTCACGCAACATGAATCAGTATGTACGAAACAGGAGATTGAAATTGAGAGGTTTTAGTGTTTCTATGGATTTAGGTTGTGGAAGTTCTATCTCTGCCTCTGCAAATTTTGTCATGAAAAATCACTCATATTCAAGTTTTTCCATCATGTTCTACCCCCTAAGATCTCTCATTTCCTCATGTTGGTGTGTGCTCATTCAGATGCATCTATACATTCAGAAATGCTTGTTTCTACCTATAAATTAGGAAACCAGGCAAATTAAAGGCCTTAGCATATGGTCATTACAAGAACTTGGAATCATTTTATGTGTGGACATTACAATGTTTGGTTACAATGAAACCCCATTTATATGGTGCACACATGATTGCTGATTTAACTCGTGGAATAAACATGTGAGATGCATGAAGTCTTATCTGATAAAAATTCCTTTTCCTACTCATTGTTACATTTAGCTATAGCCAACATTGTTTACACATGAGGTACATGGTAGAGTAGCTACTGCTTAAGCCACCCTGAGCTTCCACATGCTAAATACTAAGTACTATATCAAACTTAAACTGTGTGTATGTTCAGCCTAAACCTTTCTAAGTTGTTCTAGATATTACATGGTCATTATCTCATCCTTCGTTTTCAATTGAGCATTATTCAATTCTAAAGTAAATTAATGCTTGACTTGGATGGTGGGTGGACATAGACTGAATCAATTCTCCTAAGGTTGAATGAAACTGCACTGTAGTCTATCTTTCTCTAATATTAGTTCTGTAGGTCCACCAGTACTTAAATATGTGGCAGTGCCTTCTTATGATGGGGTCTAAACTTTGTTTTTGCAGACACTTAAGTCAGTGGTCAATGATGGAGCAAAAGGGTGGTGAATTGGGAGAAGAAATGGACTTCAAGAACAGAACAATGTTGGAAGAAGAGTCTTCTGGTTGGTGATCTAAACAGTCAATTATGTGGTTTTAGAAGAAGTTGGAGTTTAGGCTACTCTAAACAGAGGTTCTAGCATACAATTTTAGCTTGAAACATAAGAACACTGAGTCACCTGCTCTCCGAAGAGGTTTCTTATCTTTTGGGGAATCAGAACCTTGGTACGGCTGCCAATGTGATGATAGTATGATGAAAACAGGTGCTCTCGATTGCTAAATGCCACCTATATGTGTTCTTGAAACAACCATATATGACAGGCATGTGAAAAATCATTGACTGAGGTTTTTAACTCTAAGTTTGAACTAGCAAACTCTTCAAAGCTTGCCCAGAAGAAATGATATTTATTTCATGGAAGCTAAAGCTTACATCAGAAGTCCATCTCTTGCTTTTCTTGTGCCAACAGAGGCCTGAAATTTATCTCAATACATGTGATCATTTGTTTCTTCTATGTACCCATTACAGGCTCTCTTTAAACAAAAGAGACAAAGATGCTTCTGTCAGTGCAACGTGCATCAGCAGTACATTTTATCTCTGTAGTCGGTGACTCCGTGATGTTCCAGCAATGAATGATTTGTTGTCAATCAAAATACCAAAATGTTTGCTTTTGCTTTCATGTTATGTTTCCTTCGGTTCATCTTTTTCCCATGCTGTCAATCGTTGGATCAGGATTCAGAAACCAACATGCTTCGGTGATGCAATCTGTTAATTGACAATCTCGATATCTCAAAGCAGTTCTATATGCAGTATGGATTCCTTGCATTTACATGTTCTTCCATCATTTTTAGCTCCATGAGAGTAAGGGTCACGATCAGATAACTGACATGTTGAAGTTGAGGTTGAACCACCAGCTTAAACTGAAGTTAAAAGTATTCATCACACTCATATAATCTAATCTTAATTTTTATTATTTTCTTGATATAAATCGGAGTATAACTTAAGAGTTTAATGTCATTGTCAATATCTAACATAGGTCAAAATCAAACTATAATATAGTACACATGAGGTTTAGTCCAGTAGGCTCCAAAGCTATGGATAGTCTTTTCCTATTTAAGTTTTTTATTATGCCTCAATACTACATTGAAATTGATAATAAAAAAAGTTTAATTTATATTATTTATGAATTTATTATTATTATTATTATTATTATTTTCAACTAAGTATTTTAAATCAATTGATTAGACTCAAAATAAGTTAGCAATCTATGACATAATATAACGTTATCATTAAACTGTATCTCACAAGCACCATGCCAAATTTTAATTGTAAGTTGTAGGACGAGCAGACCAACTTGGGTGAGGTCCAATAGCTCCACACGAAGAAAGTTGGGTTGATAAGGTTCAGATATGATATAGTGCAGTGCTCGGGAAACACCAGTTTGATTTCTTGGATCACTCACCTAATCCTGTTTCCTGTAGCTTTGATCTCAAACTCAATCCCACCTGATTGTGCTCAATTATTTATAACATCACCTGACCTATCTTGGGAGGCCCATTGGGCCTTCCTTCCAAGGCCATCTTCTTATTATGGGTTGTAGAGCCACTCTTTTGTAATGCCCTACTGACGAAGAAGCTTAGCAGCCTGATAAGCCCATTTAGGGTCCAGATCGACCCAGACGAGCTCGACCCAGATCGGTTCGCTGGGTCCGGTCTAAATCCCCTCGCCTATCAGATCACGGGAGGAGAAGCAATGGCTTTATTATTATCCTCCAAGCCCCGTCCTCTGCTCCTCAAGCACCGCCCGCCATCGCCACCCGATCGGCGGCCTCCTCCTCCCCGACTGCCGGGAAGAAACCTGTTAAAACAGAATAATTCTTCCTCTTTGTGTATTAAAATAGGTTCCTCATCAAAATATCAACTTGATATTCAAATGAAAATATCAACCAGCACAGCATAAACAATAGAACAAAAATCAATCATGAGACTAAATCTTTTTAACATGAAAAACTTAATGTGGAAAAAACCACGGGACCGTAGTCCACCTCAAACTTCCACTATCAATAATAATGATAACAAGTTTACAGTAGGTCTTCTCTAGAATAACTAGATGATCAAAATAACATCAAGAATAGTATATTTTCATCGTATACGATGGATCTCCTCAAAAGAGAATTCTAGGTCTCACAAAGTGGATATCATAGGAAAGTACTTTAGAGAAGGTAAACTGCAGATCAACACCGTTAGGATTGTAGAGTTTGCTGCAAGGATTCTCCACATAAAATTTGGACCGAAACTGACAACGTTTGGCCACCGATCGTCAAGCAGAAAACTCAGAAACCTAATCTTTCTCTTCTCTTTTCTCTACACGTCGCAATCTGATCTCTTTTCCTCACCTTCTCTCTCCTCTTTTTAATTTCTTTCATTTGCTGATTTGGGCTTAATAGGTCCAATTGTCCAAGCCCACATATGAGCTAGATCTAACACCGAACTCTCCGTTCGACGCCGACGCTGACTCCACAGCTCCTTCGCCGCACGCGCCACCAAAAACGGCGACGCCGGCATTACGGGCGCTTCGTGCTGTGCTAGTGTTCCCCCCACACCCAAAAACAAATCCGCCGCCTCTTGGTTGTAACCTTAGCTTAAGGGTGGTAAGTATGATGGAGTGACCAGCTGCGACCAGCTTGATACTGACAAGTTTCCAAGGCAAATGTTGTATGATTTAAAGCAGATATGTTAATTACACATGTATGATGACAAAGCTTGTCCACAATTTACAAGCGTAGCTTCCTTGATATGATCATATCGTAATTGATATTTCAACACTGCACAACATTAGCAATCAGAATGCAACAAGTTGTAAAAGAAAGAGATTTCCTTATCCGCAGCGATACAGTGCCACGAGTTAGAATCTGTGGTGTTGAACTTACAACAAGAATCATTTGATAGTGAAAAAAAGGAAAGAGAGACTTGGCACGTGAATGGAAGCCTGTAAAATAAAGCAGCTTCACAAGATGTGATGGAAGCCTCCATGGAAAACCAAGGACAAGACACAAATGAAAGACTGCACAATAGTTTTCATCAACCTCAATGACCCTTGAATCCCGAATACAACAATCCAAGTGAAATATCATGGGGAAGTAATATAACATCAGCTGTTCTCTGCTTTGTGTCTTTTAAGTGCTTGTGATTCCCCTAACCTGCTGTACCCGATTGCTTGATAAAAAGGTGTTGAATCTTTCTGATCCTTCAATAACACAAATTAAGAAGATAAAATAGGATCAGTTATGTCTTGATGAATCAGTAGTTGTTTTCCCAATGCACAAGAGTAACATTATGGGGTAGTTGAATGCTATGGCAGTGAAATAAAGATCATTTGTCCTTCATGCTATTGCAGTCATACAACAACAACAACAACAACAACGTCCAAATGATGAATTGATGAAGGAATAGAAGAGTTCTCACCTTAAGAATGGAAGTTGTGGCTGTGCCAGTAGGCCTACTATTAATTGCTCTCTTGCCAAGATTAATCTGAACAGATACACTGGCTTGAGACAGATCCACACCAGAGCTTTGCAATGCCTGACTCAGAGTATTCAACAGCCTGTTTGAGCAAATCATCAGATCAAAATTAAACAAAAGCCTATAACATGTCGCAAGAAAATATTTGTTTGAAATATCAAAGGTTGTAATCCAAAAAGGAATGAACTTATAGATCTCTTGTACGCACCCATGGGAGTAGGCAGTAGACATGCTAATCATGCCTTCATCGACGGTTAGCTCCTCTTGTTCATTCATCACATCCCTGCCAATGGCACCACCAGTGAGGCTGCATGATCTCAACCACGGTGGTCGATCCTGGAACACCATGGTGTCTGGATTTGAAATCAACCCCTGCTGTGACTGTGCAACACCTGCTTCCCTTCCAACAGCCAACAACCTTTGATGTGACGAATTGTTTGCGGTACCCAGGTTACTTGCTAAACTGGTGGCAATCTTGTAAGAGTTACCAGCAGCCACACCTGTTGCTGGGGAAACATGCACACTTGACAGCATAGGAGGTGCAACTGGAGTGCTACCTTCACTCGATTTCTTCAAGAATATATGTGCAGGAGAAGCAGAATTATTTTCTATGGCTAAACCAATTCCAGGCGCTTGGTTGTTCTTCTGTTTCAAACATTTAGCGGAGAAAAATATCACAATAAGAAACAAGACATATGCATGAGCTCATTAGAAAGAAAACAATACTACACGAAATAGATTGAGCTTAATGATTCTACCCAAGGCATTAACTTGACACCATCCTGATTCCATCCCGAGTATGGCAATTCATACTTCTGTACCTTCTCTTGTAAGAAGCGGATGTATTCAATGACCTGAAGGGAAATTTTGCTAAAACAATGTCAATACGAAAGGATTACACCATTCAAAGCATACTCGTGGCATGATTTAGTGTACCTCCAGAAGAAATGATGCTTTATCTCTCTTCTGATCACCATGAGGTATGAGCTGCCGGAGTATCTGAAATCTGCAAAACGGTTTTGTATGCTGTCATTAGTGCATAAGATTGTTAAATGCGTATAACTATATTTATTAGTCATAGTTTTCATTATCTCATGTAGTAGCGATGTAAAATGTAAAAGACATCACAAAAGAGAAGCCTAATTGTGTAGATTGGCAGAAGGAAAGGTTAAAAATAAAGCAAAATCTACATGGTCAATCAAATGACAGAACAATCCAATTGTGAAAATTTTGAACAACCCAAATTTGCTCATAACAGTTCAGCCAAATTCAGACGTTTATTCCTCTATTTGGAAAGCATTCTTCTGAACTTTCCAGCAAGTGCTTCCGTAAGTAGGTTGGTTTCCATCTACAAACCAAGCACTGAAAACAGCAGCTCGCTAACTAGCAGACATTATTATCACAAAGGAAAATTCATAGGCAATTAGCAGATAGGATTTTTTTTTTCCCCATATAGCTAATCAAGATTTACTAACTAAATTGTTGTTCACTGAAAATAATCTTCAAATAAAAACTAAAAGATCTACAAGTATGTTGTACAATAAACTGGCCATGAGGTATTACAAATATATAGATGCAAAAAAAAAAAAAATCACTTTTGTTGGATCCTCAACCACATATTGTTATTCTGAAGTGAACCAAATATAATATAGCACCCTATATAACCAGGAAACTGCATGACATAAAGTATGGAGAAAGCTCAAACATCATATTACATGGACTTGCCTGTCATTAATTTTGCTTCTTCTCCTCTGTTCAGTGGCAGAATGCTTAGACCGTGGTGTGTTTGGCCTCTGATCCGCAGTGCTCACCCTCCCATCTACATTCACAGTCAAATCTTCGTCCCAGTACAAACAAAACAAAGAAATCAAATGATTTTACTCATGAAAAGAAATGGAAGCAATAAAATTTCAGCAGAAGCTGAACAACTAAATCAAAAAGGAATCACAGAAGCAGAAAGAGTGGAAAAGAGTTAGGAGAAAACAAGGAGCTACCTTGACGGGAGGAGGAGCCCTCCTCTTTCATTCCAAACACCTCCGCCTCATCATCATCATCCACTCCGTCGTATCCTCGTGTGGATCTCGACGCGGCCGCCTCCATGAATCGCTTCTTCTCCGGCCCCGAGCTGTGCCTGTCCCAAAAGCCCCCCACAGCTCAGAAGAGAAAGCCTCTAAATAAAAGAGAGTCGGAGAGAGAAGAAGAAGGACACGAACCTCCCAGAGGAGGTGGCAGCTGGAGTGGTGCAGATGACTCCGTAACTGCCGCTGCCGCGGGCGGCAGCCAACGTGGAAGGCCGCTGCCCTGTGAGTGAGACGGAGCAAGCAAAGATTAGGAGGGAATACCATATAAATCTGGTCTTTTTGCATTTTGACCCCTGAAACTTTGATATTTGCATAATAGCCCTCATTTGATTTTGAAAAATACACTCACAATAAATAAATAATTATTTTTTCGATTATCATTATCCTCCTCTCATAATTTACATCTTTCATCAGCCTAAACGACATGGTCGAACGTCTTGAGATTCGTGCAACATCTCCAATGGAAATCATTTAAGATTTCACCTGAGAACTTGACCGACGGTATGGCTCCGTCGGAAACAGGGGAGACCGAGAGCTGACGTTCCCGAGCGAACATAAACTAAAAAATTTTAATTATAAGACCCAAAAGACAATTAACATAAAACCTGAAGTCCTTTTTATTGTGATCGAGAAATAAACACGATGATTCGTAGTAAAAATAAAAATCAAGAATCACACTACCTCTGGAAGCGGTGTCTTTTTCGTCCCACTGCGTGTAACAAGCAGCGCCAGCGTAAGAGCCGAAGCTGGTGGTGGTGCTTCGGCTGCCGTAATCGGGTTCGGGTTTGGTCTCCAACCCGATAGAGAACCCCCGCCCCGGTCCCCACCCACTCCTCTCCGGCTTCACCTCGCCGGCCACGTGACCGACGCCGCACGCGCCTACCCCGCCCGGGAGCACCCGCTCCGCTGGCCTCTCGGTGGCCACGCCTCCTCCCTCCGCCGCCTCGCCGCCGCGCTCCCCCCGCTCCAGCGGCTGCAAGAAGTCCCGCGTCTTCAAGAAGAAACCTGGCAACAAAAACACGAGACAGAAAAGACAAGAAAAACTCAACATGTGTCCGAATTTATAAAGCCACGGAGACACAGAGCTGAGATTTCGGCATTGGTTTAGTCTCCGAGAAGAGATTTTGATGCAAAATACAGTTTAAACAAGAGAGAATTTCCATCGGCCAACAGTAGAATTCTACTGAACTCTACGTGAACAATGGGAGATGTGGAGTTATGAGATGAGAACCTTGAGATGAAGACCTCGGATCTTGGACCTGGTAAGATGAATCCGAGGAGTAGAGCGACAGGAAATCATGTGTTACTTTCTTCCCTGTATATTATCATGTAGACTCAAAGAATTATTAGAATTCAAAGGGAAAATAAAAGAAGCATAAGAAGAAGAAGAAGAACACTTTCAGACCGGCCTTAATTACCTTGGAGCTCCATTGCACTCACCAGACATACATCTTCTTCTTCCCCGACTCCAAGATGCTCCCTTTTCCGAGTTATCGTCAACAATTCAACTCGGAAACCACAAGCTCTTGCCACAGGTTACTCCAGATCGAGGGAAACAATTAATGGCTCACGACGAAAAGACTTCGTCTCGTCTCCTTGAGCCCCTCAAAGGAGCAGCGGAAGCCGAGAGCATTCAGGAGAACAGAACCGATCCAAGTAGCATGAAAAAGATCGAACTTTGAGATCGAGTTGACAGAGATAAAGAGATCCGATTGATGGATGAATCATCAAAGAAATTTCGCCTTCCTCGGGGAGGAGGAGACGAAAGGCTCCGCCAAGATCCCAACACGCCGCGCCTTTAGCCCACTCTCTGCTCCGCCCTCTCGCTTTTATTTACTCCTTACTCCTCTCCCGTCCCCCTCCCGAGAACGCCGTTTCCTCGTGTAACTAACGGCGCAGTCACGTCCCCGTTTGTTCACGGCGCCGCGCGGGTTAAATCGCATCGATGCGCGTGCTTTCGGCCGTAGCGTTACCGCGGGCGACGCCGTGATCGTACGGCTCTGATCGGTCCACGCAGTGGTGGGGGGGGGTGGAAAAAAGAGAAGCGAAGCGATGGGGATCACGTGAGGTACGGCGGTTGACCGCGGTTGGTCGTTGACGAAATCGAAGTCTATGACGAAAATAGGTGTGATTAAAGCGGATATACGTAGAAGATGATGATGATTAGGCGCTAATCCCGATCCCGCGTCAAAAGAAAAGATCATTAGATAATAATTATTATAATATTTAGGGCGCAGTAAAAGATGAGGGAGATGGAGATGGAGATGGAGATGGGAGCGACGAGATTGCAGGAAAGAAGGGACCGCAGAGCGTGCTGGGGTCGTCGGGGAAAAGGGCACGTGAGAGGCACGGGGCCCGCGGCCGCTCCTACGAACGCACATGAGCGGGAATTGCGGGTGGAGGTCTCTCCTCATGTGCTTTAGATTCCCCACCCACTTCCCACTCACGTCCCCCTTCCGCTTCTTCCTCAGCCAGCACATCAAAAACATCTTCTTTTCTGCAATTTATGCTCTTGATTTCTTGATCTCAGAAGCCCCTGAGATATTATCACCACACTATGTTCATGCATGATAGGGTAGACTGAAACTGATGTCATAATATTTCTTTGATGAAATGAAGAGAGAAGAAAGAGAAAAGAACAGTGAGAACATTAAATTCAAATAGACAGGATCCAGCGGGAACATGCAGATGAAGATGGAAGGAACGTGCTTGGTGGAGCTTGCATTATGAAATGCTGTGATCGTCTTTAAAGTCTTCTTCCAAACTTCCATTCACGGAGAGACCCCACATATCTCTCTTGGCAAATCATCTGTCACCTGTATGACCTGAGCCGCAGCCTGTCGCTTCTCCCTTTTCTGGAAGAAATGCCTCCTCATACTTTCCCACGGTTCGCTCCAGTATTTATTTTCACGGTTCACTCAGGTGAAACCTTTGTGACGCACATTGTCAACCATCACCAGTTTGGTGAATGCCGATGTCAGAGGTGATGAGATTCTCTCCACTTTTTCTGACACGGATCATATGAAATACATAAACAAACAACTAGTACTGACACAAACTTAGCTAAGATGTAAAACTGCTCATGACATGAACGAAGAGACTCAAAATGATATCTATGAAAAACATCAATCTACCGTAGCTCCAAAGTTGAGTGTTTTGTCGTCATAATCAGGTCGTAGATATCCAAGAATTTCCTTTTTAAGATGCTTTACCCCAAAGGCACAGGTAACACATGATCATTCCATATATGCAGGACAAAACTTGGGGGGACATGACATGCACCAAAGCTCCGCTGTGTGGAGTCTTGTGTACAGGGCAACCCCCAAAGACCACAGAAAACAACAAGCATATCACGCGACATCCAACCACCCATGGCGAAGTGAAAAGCCACACCCAGATCACTAGTGCTTTGTAGTCTTGTATCCGATGGATAAGAACACGAACCGCCACGCTTGCTGACGGAAGTGCGTGCGGTCGGTCAGAGAGCAAGGATCTGTGAGTGGCACACCTCTCAAGACGAGATCTATCCTTCCGTGTCTCAGACCGACGTCCTTCTGATGGCGGGCGGTGGCCCGTGTGCACTGAGAACGTCACACGTGCGAACAGTGGCACACTCCATCTGAATCACCTATAGCTTATCTATCCCTCTGCACCGTTCCTCTCAGGTTTTATGCAGGTACGTTAATCCTGAAACACCCATCAGATTACTCTTAATTGGAGGTTTTGTTTCAGATTCTATTGACTATAGATATCGATATAAATAACGCACAGCCCCTCTGCAGCTGCAATCAATAAAATGATCTATGTATGTTATAGCAGTCCTCCAATCACATTTTAGGTCCTTTCTAACGCATAAAATATCAACTCTTAAAGCAGATTTAATAGAAGATAACAAAAAATCAATGTGTTTTTACATCATATCATGACTAATAATAATTATTCTCAACGTGCGGTCTGGGAATCAATTAACGCTGTTCACATGTGTTTCTCCCCATTGTCTTGGGCGTCGCTCGGATTGGAAGCTGAGGGCCAAGATTATGTGCGTGCGCTTCTTGCCTTGATGTCCATCGTTTAAGCTCTCTATTAAGAATTTGGATTTACCTCAGGTTATTACGGTTTAAATAACTCTACGAGACAGGAGAATGTAAGACTATGGATGAGTACATTCATGAACAGTTATCGAAAAAGGAGGGAGCAAAGTAAGTATATATTTATGCATCGGTTGCAATGGTAGTGATCGATCAGTAAACAATATAGTCAGAATATTCTCATGGCTCAGATAACTAACTCCTTTTATAATATTGTTCTAATAAGCTAAGTAAGTACCTGTAAGATGCACTTTTAACATGCAATGCGGTTCTCTTGTGACACACCGACACACCACATGGGATGTGTTTGGATGTGCCCACACTAATGCAACAGTATCTCAATCACATACACCTTTTCTTCGATCTTGGTAGAAGTTGGGGTGTCGACAGGTCAATCTTTAATTGCCGCATCGCTCTCTTCTTTTAGAAAAGTAAGGACTCGCAACACGACATATTACTTCGAAGAAGATTGCGAACCGTTTACTGGTCTTCTCAACATTAATCTTGTAAAAGCCTTGATCTAAACTCCAGAGATCGAGCTGCCGTCTTACATATCCATGCTTAGTTACAGATGCTATTATGTGAAACTTGTTACTAATTATGATGATGACTGCCCTCCAAGATTACTGACAGCATCCAAATCTAAGAACTACGAGTCCCAATCAATTATAGCATACCCTTTCCCAGTTGCAACCTTGCGGAATCTTGCTTCTCGTTCATACACCATTTGCATGCATATTATAAGCTCATGTCCGTTAGGGTAACATGCTTAGAGCCCCCCATCATGCATCTCCACCCATATAAATCTATGCATGCTTCCACCTTTGCCTCATCACCAATATGTTATCTATAAATTACGTTCCCAAAGTCAGTCTATAATAACAAAAGGTCATCATAACAAATAATTGACACACATGACTCCTACAACTCTAATGTCTATAGCCACTCATGCAAAAGAGAAACCAAGACTCCCACGCCAACCTTTCCAAACCAAAACAACACAAGCTCACATCATCTTTTTTTCTTTTGTGTGTGTGTTTATATTAATTCCAGACGTTGCCGTACCGTGCAGCACACAGTAAAGAGTCGGTGGATGGGCGACTTCTGTTGTGCCGCTGCTGCTCCCTGAACCACATAGCTAAACATGCACTGTTGATCAGGAGCAGACGTAGCGCCTTTTCTTTGAGGAAAAGAGAAGGGATGACGATTCCAGCGCATGCAAAGGAAGCAACAGTGCAACACCACGTTCATGAGTCCACAAGCTGCCTGGAACTTGGAGGGCAGGTACCCACAAGCACAGAGATAAAGAAGGATGAATTTTCGAAAAATATTTCTATTTTTATTTTATTTAAAAAAGCCTAAATAGTGTTTTTACTTTTTAAAAAGATAATAATCTCAAAAAACTGCTCAGGTTCACATAGGATTAATCGAATAAAAAAATTGATCTAACTAGAATCAATATATTATCCTTGTTTCACATTTATCAATCAATACGATCTTTAATCTCTGACTATTTCCTATTCTATCATCGTTACCACTGTGTACTCTATAGCCTCTAACTATTGTCGACTTCGTGCATCAATGTGTTTAGAGTCAAGTTCCACTGTTTACAGTAATACCGACCCCTTTAAGCTTCTATTTTATTGCTACCACAAGGAGGATTCGGGAGTTTCCTACTTCTCGGGTTCCAAAACTTTAGCGACAGCCAACATTGTTTGCAATAAACCATGGAGGGTTCTTTAACGTATGTTTTCATTTTCATAAAAATATTTACTATGAAATCATTACTTTTTGCTTAGGTTTTATGGTTGCGTGTTTACTGTTACAGTGTTATAAAAACTTGTTGTTTTACTATCAATATTTTTAGCATTCTTTATAAAAATAAAATCCTTGTCCAAAACAATATGTTATTTTTCTCATGTTTATTTTATTCTTAACAAATTATAATTCATTCAAGTAATATTTTTTCACATTTTAGATTTAAAGAGGTCCAAAATATATGTAAAAAATTTGGTCTAGAGAAAATTTTACCTAATAGGTGATGCACTATTATTGTAAAATTTTCAAAAATAGTACATCAGATGCACTATTTAAAATAATCTCAAATTTTTAGAAAAATCTTTGAATAGGATACCTATGGATATATGTAATTGGTTTTCTATTTTATAGAATTCTTTCAACATATTTATGAATTTTTTTAGCATTTGAATAATGTGTCATTTTTTATTTTCTCTTTATTATTTATATTTCTAAAAATTATAAGGCATCCATGTAATATTTTTTTATATTAGAGCTTCTAAATAGGTCAACAATATATGTAAAAAATTTGGTCTTGACAAACTTTTCTAATAGGTGATGCAATATTATTAAGAAAAATTCAAAACTAGTGTGTCGCATAGATGCTCTGCTCAAAATGATCTTAAATTTTTAGAAAAGCTTTAAATATATCCCATATGGACATATGTCATTGGTTTTTTATTTTAAAGATTTTTTGATATTTTTATAATATTTTGAGCATCTGCATAGTGTGTTATGCACGAGAAAAATTCAAAAACAGTGCATCGCATCGATATACTATTCAAAATGATCTTAAATTTTTAATAAAGCTTTGAATAGGATACTTATGGATATATGAAACGTTTTTTTTATATTTTATAAAAATAGTTAGTATTTTTATGATTTTTTTTGCATTTGAATAATG